AGATTTCATCATGATATATAATTTGTACATTCTGTTCATTTTCCAGGTCCTCTTTGAAAATTGACAAAATCACTTTTACATTTCTTTCTTTATTTCTTTATTTCTTTATTTCTTAATTTCTTAATTTCCTTACTTATTTCTCCATTTCTTCATTTCTTTTTTTATTTTGCCATGTCTTCATTTCTTCGTTATTTCATTACTTCTCCCTTGTTTGTTTTTGTTTTTTTAAATTAGTTGGTTAAAAAAATAATTGTCTTTCTTATCAAAATTGAATAAAAGGAAAAGGGAAGAAGATATTATTTATTTAAACTAAAATCAAAAGAAAAGTAGAAGAAAAAGTAAGGGGTACAAAAGCAGCTTAAAATCAGGTCAAAATTGAATAAAAGTAAAACGACACCACGAAAGAAGCAGAATGACAGCAAACAAAAGCTGGATAAAAGTAGGATAAAAGTGCTACATATGAGTATGAGACAAAATGAAGGATAAAATGTATAACAAAAAAAGATAAAAGTCCGACAAAAGCAGGATAAAAATATGAAAAAATAAGGATAAAAGTTCGACATAAAAAGCAAGCAGAATCGAATCATAAAATGATGAAGGTTCGACAAAAAGCAGGATAAAATATTTTTAAAAAGCAGAATACAAGTCCGAGAAAAAAAGCAAGAAGAATCAGACTTGGGCAACGGCTTTGAAAAGAGCAACAGAAGCAGGACTAGGGGGATAAAAGGGGGATAAAAGGGGGATAAAATGTTTTTCTACTCTGTACAATAAAACGGAGAAGTGTAGCACGTCACCTATGACATATCATGCTTCCTGGTTGTTTTATCTTCACAAAATCCCGTAAATTCCTCTTGTTCGTCCTTTAATTTGCATTGCTGATTGTGATTTTATTTTTGCAATAAAAGATACTGACTTGTAAAGTGAAGAGTTGTTTGGTTATTTGTATTTTTGTTTTGTTTGTTTGTTTTTTCGTTTGTTTGTTTGTTTGTTTGTTTATTTGTTTGTTTGTTTGTTTGATTGATTGTGTTGTTTATTTCTCACACATACTTTCGCTTTGTTTTGTTGGTTTTGTTGGTATATTTGCTGTTTTGTTCATTAATATTTTGCTTGCTATTTAGTGTAACTCTTTTGTCAGACTCACTTGCTTGTTTGTTTATTTGTTTTTTAATTGTTTGTTTGTTTGTTAGTGTAAATATTTTGTCAGACACACCTTTTGTTGGTTTATTTGTTTTAGTATTCTCTATATTAGATAAACCTCTGCTTACATAGATAAAACTTTGTGAAATTGGGATTTGACTCAAACAGACATGCCTACTGTCCCAGGCTCGAATACCGCGAGAAAACGGTGAATAACTTCTCCAGTTTTTGCTCACCTTTGCACGAAGTTTGAGAGGAATTATGTTTGATCATCCGGACGTCTTATTTTATACTCAAATGTGAACGAGTCATAAGAGCGCTGCTGCATCAACCATATCTCGGAGTAACCCAGAAAAGGGGTTCTTTAAAGTTATGAAAATACGCTGAATTCGAGTCCGAAAAAAAAAAAAGGGTATAAGCCTGTTAATGCGGTGAGTGGGAGTTGGATTCCAGATTTAGATCTAGTGCACCTTCTGAAAGAGTCAGGGGCGAAGGCTGACTTGTTTGACAGGGTAATCAAAGTGAGATGGAACCAGATAGGGCCTGGAGATATCACACTCACACAAGTCACAGGAATCTTACTGGCACTGGAGGCGGCAACTCTGAGTTGTGAATGAAAACAAATCCTGAATTCATGTTGTATGCATATTCAACAGCTAAAATAATCGGGAAAGTATTTAATAAAATTTAAATATTTATTCTGACTAACCTCAAATTTAACTTAAGATTTGAACACACGAACACTAAGGAAAGAAGCAGAGATGTCAGTACTACAATGGCATGTTATACCAGACAGCCGAAACACTTTGCATGCCAATTATATATTTTTTATTTCACATTTGGCTTGTTTTTTTTCTAGCTTTCGCGGCCAGGAGCCGGTGTCATAATCGAGGTCACGATCTGATTATAGGACGTTAAAAGGTCGAGGAAAAAAAAAAAAACCAAGCACTCGCAGCAGTCAAGATATTATTAGGAGTTAGTTCCACTCACATCTGTGTGGTAGACTCGACCAGTGTAATAATTAGCTTACTTAATCAGCGAGTGTGGCTGCTTATAACTGTGGCTCGAAAGGGGTGAACAGGGTAATTGCGGCAATGAAACAGTTTTGACTGTTATGCACATGTTCCCTTCAACTCTATTGGTAGGCTCTTCCAGCCTCACTTTAAGCTTACTTCATCAAAGCTTGTTACTGCTTATGTAGTGGCCCGATAGGGGCGAACAGGGTATTTCTGTGGCAATGAAACGGTTTTGAAGGTTAGGCATAGTCTATTGTTCATTGGTGATTATGAATGTCTTTTTACATTCAATTTATGAGGTTTACGTTTATGGGTGAATTTGACTGCGACAATATTTCAAAATTAGGAAGGGAAGCAGTGATTATTTGATTATATAGACGCTTCGCCTCTGCAATTTGATATGGGTTCAAACAGTTGCAAGTGAGAAGATATCTGATAGAAAGCCACTAGATCTAATAAAGGGAGTAATCATTAAGAAAATGGTGCCAATATAAGGAAAATGTGGAAGCAGGTCGCTCGTCGGTTGCGACAACGTCAAGGAATCTGTTCAAAGACGTGGCGGTGAAATAGGCTGGTAAAAGTCCACAACTTACAGAATCTTAGGGCATGATTTGAAAATGAAACCATGCCACATATATCTGTCCACCAAAGAATAACCCAAGACAGTATTTTGGAGAAAAATAAATACAATGAATGCGTGAGACAGAGTGAACATTTTGTAGTATCTGTTAGCATCAGCAACGAGGTTTTTTTCTACGTTCTGGGAATTGTGTGCGCTGGGTAACAGAAAGTCTAGATGACGTAGCTTTAGACTCTTAGGTTGTCATGTGGCCGTTTAGGTCAGTGATTAAGACGGGGCGATTTGAGTGTGTTGCATGAGCTCTGGGATAAAGACAGGGCTATTTGAATGTTTTAAATTGGTTCTGTGATAAAGACAGAGCACTTTGAATGTGAGATTAACACCTGTCTGTAGCGGCCTTTGTGTTCTCAACAATAGGTGGTCGTCTAAAAAAGGTTCGACTGTATATAACAATTTAAAAATGAAAAGCGGCACTGATTTTATGTGGCTGGCGATGGATTGTCAGTCTGGTTTTAATTATTTGAGCGTCCAAACGGGTGTTTGGTGGGTGTCAGATTTTCCTTCTCAGAAGGATAAAAGCTACCATTTTGGAACAATTTGATGAAATCTTTCCAAATCAGACATGATTGTGGGGTTTTTTTTTAAAGGATTTGGTCAAATGGTGCCTAAATAACAGCTTTTGCACTATATTATATTAAAAATTCTGGACAATGTACACAAGAAATAAATAAACTAGCCAGTTCCTAACTGTGAAATAGATGAAGTCTCACTGTTTCATGGTTCGACAATCGAATGAATACATTGCATCATTGAACGCAGATTTCTGAAAAAGATCAAGGCAGTAGAGTGTAAATGGGGAGTAAGGGGGGGGGGAGAGTGCCAGGAATTACATTACACATGTACATTCTTCAAACAGTGGTGTCTGTAGCCTATAAAGGGGTTAAATTAGGAGTTAAGCAACTGGACTCATAATAGTGAGATTTGGGGCTGAGTGATTCGAGCCTCAGTTCGGTCCGACGTTGTGTCCTCCTCGGAAACGTCACTTCACGTGAGTTTCCCATTTGGCTCGACGTTAAGGGCTGGTGGGGCACCTAGAAATCTTGTTTTGGGGCCAAATTAAGCAAATTTGGGTTGTTACATATTATACTACCTTGGACTTTTCCTGAACAATATCCACAAACGTAAGTAAGCCTTGCTGCAACCTAAACATGTCTTTTTTGTCCAAGTGTTTCTGCGAAAGCACATGTTTTCCAGTCGGTTCTTACCTTTATCGGCTGTTTTCTCACAATTCTATTTTTTTCACACATTATCCCATTTTTCTGCCCTGCTTCTTGTTCAATTTCAATGTAACTTTCACAGGATGCCAACAACACCTAGTTCTAAATCTTAGCTTGTTGAATTTTTGATTAATGGAGTATTTTTTATATTTATGGGCTTAGAAAGAATGAATTTTCCATTTTTTCCAGTTTTTTTTAGCAACAACTCAATTGAAAGTATCATAAAATAAAAATTAAAGCATACATCAAAAATCCAACTTGCAAAATTAAAGAGCCATATATTTACTGTTGGCATCAAAATTAGAAGTGAATCAGTTAATTAATAAGGGAATAAAATGGGATGGAAAAATGTATACAGAATTCAATATGGCAACTGTTTTCATAGCAACCGATTCAAAATATACTTTTTGAACTATAGATTTCAAATCCCCAATAATACACGATGTCCCACAGCAAATATTGGCACTCTAGGCTTTGTAACAGCCAAAATAGACCTCAGGTGCCCCACCAGCCCGGTCAAGGTCTACAGTGAAAACTAAAAGCAAGACGGGCAACTTCTCATTTACTTAATTACTTGTGATAAACATAGCCCACGCAGATTTTCTTCACTTGTAATACGTTTCATTTTTCGAAAAATGCTTTGGTTGCCATGGAAACGGAAAAAGCAGCCGCCATCTTGGATTTTAAAGTTTATTTCCATGGAACATTTTTCTTTCGTTATCCATCCAACAGTCATGAAAGTTGGCCTACATACTTTCATCAACATCAGGCACATTTTGTCAAATTTTCAATTCAATAAATGAATAGCTGTATTTTTAACGAATAATAATAATAATAATAATAATAATAATAATAATAATAATAATAATAATAATAATAATAACAATAATGAAACTAAACAGCTTTTTATTAATTTTGTACACAACACAATATATCCCCGCCAAACAGCAAGCCACCGATACAACTTGCATTGTTGCATGTTAGAATGGCGTTTTTGTTTTTATCATGCCCCCTAAGTGTTTTGTTTTTGTTTGTTTGTTTGTTTGTTTGTTTGTTTGTTTGTTTGCTTTTGCGTTTGTTTGTTTGTTTGTTGGTAAGTGTTTTACGGCACTCGCAACCTGCATAATGCCATATGAGCGCGCCGGACACATTAAACATTTTCAGATCGGTTGGAATTAAGGTTGAATTTAGCCCGGGTGGCCGTTGAAGCCTACATTTATTGATTCTTATAGGATCACCAAGGGATCTTTAACGTGCGCAACTTGCAAACAGGACCTCCCATGGGTGTAGCTGAAGGACAGCAGCATAAAGGAGCCAAGAAGTAGCAGTAGAAAGGTTGTCGAAAGAGTCCGGAGCCCAGAAGAGGCGGGGGTGAGGGGCAGAGAATGGAGATGAAAGCAGACGACAGAAAATGGTTAGAGCACAGGAAAGGAGGCGAAAGGAGAAAATTTTAGAGAAGAAAATGTTTTGTCGCTCTCAGGTTTCTAAACCGGGACATATTGAATGAGAGGCGAACACCGTAACCTTCTAGACCACGAGAGTCCCTTTCCCCTAAGTGTATACACAGAAAACATGTTACGACAGATAAAATAAGGTAAGAGAAGATATAACAGGTTAAGATAAGATAACAGTTTATTATCGATCTCCACACAGAGAAATTTGATGTCGGCTCAGAAAATAAAAAACACCCACACGCCAACACATATATACACAATATTCTATAAACACACGCACACACACGCACACTCACGCGCACACAAACACACATACACACAATCACACACACAGAAACGCAGATACACACACATACACACACACACACACATGCACCCACACACGCCTGCGTAGGCACATTCGCACGTATGCACCCACGCACGCACGCACGTACGCACATAAACACACTAATATTTATACAAACGCGCACGCACGAATACACACACAAACATACACACACACAGTTATTTGTATAATCTTAAAGTTTTGTTTATTTGTCTTGTTCCTGTTGAAAAATTACCCATCTATCTTGAATAGAAGTCAAGATATTTGCAATTGAAGGAAGTGAAATCACCTGGTGTCGGTTATAAAGTTACTGAGAAAATGGCCGCAAGGGTTGGTGATTTCCGAAGCTTGAGTGTCCTTGAAAACTGCACATTTACAGTTTGTATGCCTTTGATAAATGCTTTTCAGTAAAGTCTAAACATACATTTTTATTTATCCATTATCTATAAAAAGGGTATGGCATTCGAAATGGTTCTGCCTCTTTTTGAATAGTTGTGGATAGCGCAAAAATCGTGACTATTGAATAGTAGTAGAGTCGAATGGACACGGGTAAACACTGCAAAGCTCAAAAGGCGGATTTCCCGCTGAACGATCCTGAACCGGCGGGATAACTATGTCTGCCTCCATCAGCGAACACGACGGTCCCACTGACGAAACTGGAGGCATCAGACGCCAAAAAGGCGACAGTTTCCGCTACCTCGGTCACCTCACCATTCCTCTGTAGGGCATGTAGCTTGGACTGCATTTGGGCAACCTGGTGGGGGGTGGGGAATGAATGAATGAATGAATGAATGAATGAATGAATGAGGGAATGAGGGAATGAAGAAATGAAAGAATGAATGAATGAAAGAAAGAACGAAAGAAATGGAAAAAATGGAAAAAAGGAAAAAGAAAAAGACAACAACAACAACAACAACAACAACAACAACAACAACAACAACAACAACGACAACAACAACAGAAAAAAATGAAAATGAGGAAATGAAGACAGTGTACACTATACGCTCGTAAATAGACCAAAATGCCCAAAACGATCGCCCGACGTGCAGCTTGCAGAAACGTGTTTGTCATTTTGCAGGACATCATCGGTTTTGCCTCTCCCGTGGAGGACAATCCGGCTAGCCCCAAAACGACAAAAACCGCACAATCAGAACCGAATCGATGGTGCAATTGGGCACCGTCAATAATGAGTCACCAAGTAGACAGGACTAAAAATGCCGCAAGCGACATTCCCTCCATCCGACTCGTCTACTGTCGGGGGGAGTCGGCGAGTCGTTTTTTTCTGGACACACCCAAACGGTGTTCTCATTGACTGCAAAGCTAAAAACTGCTCTGATTTAATTACCGATTTCCCGCGAGAAGGACGACACTTATGATCTGTTCGTTTCTGGTTTGGTTGGTTTTGTTTTGTTTTTGTTAGCATTTTACGGCATTTGCAACAGAATCATGTTATTTAAGCGCCGCAGATTAGAGATGTTGCAAGAGAGTGACAAACGCTTAGGGGGGGGGGGGGGGGGGGGGGGGGGGGGGGCTACACCCCCAAAGTCAAAATTCGGCTAAAAATTATGGAATTTGAGTTGTAGGCATTTTTAGCTTCCTCAGCCTCTCCTACAACTATTTTCATAGCATAAGAACCCCCCAAAACCGTGTATTTTTTTTCCATACCAGGCATGTTTGTCACCACCATTTCCTCATAAAGTCAGTATTTTATTTTTCTTTACCGCCGTTTTCTCAAAACGCGACTTCTCTCTATACTTTTTTGAATAACTCCACCATTTTACATCCAATCTTCATGACATTTTCACAGAATGAAGAGAAGATATAATACTAAAAATTTATGTGTTGAAATTTTGATATATGGAATAGATTTTTGTTGGTGGTGTCTGGAGTGTGGATTTTCACGGATTTTTTGCAAACTTGACTGCTACCTCAGGAAAAAATTCATTAAACGTTTTCTAATTCGTTTAGGAAAAAAACAACAGACAAATTTTTAGATCTAATGTTTGTTAACACGCATGAAAAAAAGAAACAATCAATTTCCAAGAGCGATAAGTGCGGTATTCATTACGTAAGGCATGTCAACACAATCCAATATAGCCGCCGTATCCATGGAAACGAAACATTTTTCTCAAATTTGATTGCGGATTTTAAGACTCCCTACTATGATTGTTATATGTGTGAAATTCGGTAAAACTCGTTCCAGTAATAAGCGAAATAGCCTTCAGGTGTAGCCCCCCCCCCCCCCTTTAAAAGAAGGAGGAGAGATACAAGGTCCATTTCATAAATATTTTCCCTACCTCGTAAAACCAATTGTATTCAAGGTAGCCATTCCAAACTTGGTACACTACTACACTAACAGTTTCGAGAAGTCCCATTAAAATTTGAAGGCACTTTGTTAAACGAGTGCCAAACAGCACAAGACTTTCTGATGGTACTTGGAGTAGAATGGCTGACAAAGTGGAAGATTCAACAGTGCAACACACATTTTCAAGATATGACATTCGTGTCACTATAAAATGTTCTGTTCTCTTGGGTAAGACTACTCCTCAGATTCCCAATGATCTTTTTACAGTATTGGGAGCAAATGCACCTTCTTCTCAGACTGTTAGGAAAAGGGCAAAAGCTGTTGCAGAGGGTCGAGAAGCGATGGAAGATGAAAGCTGTCCTGGTCGGCCACGGTCTCTCTAAAGCGCTAATTTCACTGAATGATGACCGGAGGAAAACATGTGAAGAGATTGGAAATGAAACATCAGTGTCAAGCACCTCGGTATTTAGATTTTTTACAAACGAACTCAAAAAGAAAAAAAAAATGTTTTCAGAATGGGTCCCTCATTTGCGGACACAGGAACAAAAGGAGTCAAGAGTCAGTTTCTCTTTTAATTTCAAACGGAGATTTTAAACTGAGCACAACACATTCCTGGATCGAATCATCACTGGTGAGGAAACCCGGGTTTATTCCTGGGACCTTGAGACAAAACGCCAGTCTGCCGAATTGAAAGACATTGATGAAACATGTCCAGAGAAAGTGCATTGCAAACAAGGGGCTGTCAATGTCATGCACATGTTGTTTTTTTACACGAAAAGTGGGATTTTGCGCTGGCCTGTTCCTACAGGTACTATAATCAATGCCCAATACTACAAGATGGTATTGCAAGCAAAACCCAGGCTTGCCTCTTGGAAAAAACAACAAAAAAACCACAACGACACGGGCTGTTAGAATCCGGAGTTGTGTTCCATGCACCAGTTCACAAAGCCCAGGTGATGACCGACGTTTTGTCTGGCTATGAGGGAGAATTGCTGGAACATCCGCCATTTTATTATTCTCGTAACCTGGCCCCATGTGATTTCCACCTTTACCCCAAAATGAACACTTTCACGGACACCGATTTCAGTCAGAGGTGAGAGGTGGACATCAATCAAGCAACAAAATAGTCAATGAAGTGCCTGGATGAATGCACTTTCGTCAGAGCGGTTAACGGCTGGCTACAGCGTATGCAGAAGTGCATTGACAACGGTGGATGCTATGTTGAATAGAGCAGATATAAAATATATTTTGTGCCAAAATTCCTGAGTCTAGGCTGTATCTAGGCTTGGTTTTATAAAGGAGGGAGGCTTATTTATGAAATGGCGGAGTAAAAACGAATAATATTGATGTTTGATAGGAAAGAAGGAGCAAAACCGCAGCAGAGTACAAGCCAACCACGCGCTGGTTTGGTGGACATGCGGGTTGGGAGGCTTCTGTTCTACATGACAAATCTTGTGCGTGACTCTAACTGTGAGAAGACGACGACGACAATGATGATGATGATGATGATGATGATGATGATGATGATGATGATGATGATGATAACGACGACGACAACGACGACGATGAGAATGATGCTCCCGAGGGAGCGTACATGGAGAAACGTAGAGCCGATTAGATAAAGAAAAAAATTAAAATACAGTCGAACCTGCGTAAAACGGCCACCCATTGCGGAGGAGGAGAGCGGCTCTTATAACGGTACACAGGTGGACGTCTTAGGCAAGACTGATCAAAATGAAGAAAACAAACCATTTCATTCTGAGGTCCAAACCGAGGCTGATCTCAGGACTGCCGCAAGTCGAATTTACCAGGGTTTTTGGTGTTTGTTTTTTAAAGGAGGGTGGAGGGGTGTAAGAAGGGATTTTTTGTTGATGTTGTTTTGTTGATTTGTTTTTGGTTAGATCTAGCTTTTTTTGTTGTTGCTGATTTTGCCTAAGTGTAAAATAAACGAATGTAAGAAGATGAAGACCGAGTGCCATTGTAAAGCAACACTGGGTCACCCCCACTTGGGGAACGAGTGACGCTTCAGTGGCAAGTTCACGTTAACGTCCATTGATACTTTGTTACAGATTTGGTCAACAAAACAGTGACCAGGCACTTCACATACGATTTGTGTATGAGTTGTGGGTGGGGCTTAAAGGATAATAAAATGAAGGATCACATTCTTCCCTCACCTGCAGTTGAAAATTTATTGTCCCCCATTGGTCAACTGAATGGTAAACATTCATGGATGGATTAACAATAACGACAGGTGAATGGATTATGACGCCCGTCCACAGCGAGAGGGCGCGATTAAAATGTATGACAAAGCTTCAGGCAAGTCGAAATCACGCCTGGCCGCCTCAGGCAGGTAAATTGTCTGTTGGTTGATAAAATATTAATAAGGTGGCCGCGGCCGTTGAACAGATGACCATTTTACACAGTTAAATTATTACAATATGGAGAAGAAAAAAAACGGAAGGGGGAAAATGTAAAGTGACAGTACATTATACAGGTGGCCGTCATGGCAGGTTGGACTGTATTTATTTTTCTGTATTTTTATTTATACTTTTAGACCCTACCTATCTACTCTTGGTTTTTTTTACAATGAAAATGATGGTGAAGAAGACGAAGAAGAAGAACAACAACAATAGCAAGAAGAAGAACAAGAAGAACAAGAAGAACAACAATAACAACGAGAACAACAAGAACAACAAGAACAAGAACAAGAACAAGAAGTGGTAATTTTGGATCTCACCATATCCATTTTTGCCTTGTCCCCACCCAGAATCTTCGAGAAAATCGGGGTGTCGATAGCACCAGGACTGCAATGACAAGAAAAAAAGACAATTGGCTAATTGGGAAAACCATGTTCGTATTAGTAACAGGAAATTTCGTTCTGATTTTGAAACCATTATCTGTCTCTGTGTCTCTATCCCGTCCCCCCTTTTCCCCCATCTCTCTTTCTCTCTCTCTCTCTCTCTC